GGTCTGAACTATGGGGAACTAGCAGGCAGGGCCATCCACGGGTTCACGCCCATAACTACGGCCACTCTGTTTTGCCACATTCCATACTTGTGCCCTCACACACCCCAAGTGCACGGAATGCTCATGTGGAAGCAACTGTACTGAACAGTCACCAAAGAATTCCTGGCGCTTATTCTCCTGAACCACAAACCCTGAGATTCGGACTCGTGAATCCGAAGCACTAGACACATGAATTACTTTGTCGATAAATGCTGAGGATTCACGAGTCTGAATCTCGGAGTTCATGGTTCAACAGGAGAGGCGACAGGACTTTTGTTAGTAACTCTAATGTTTAGGTGCGTGGAAAACTCCGGCCAGTGTCTTGAATATAATTTATTACTTGTACAGCCCACGGCACTTGTAAGCCACAGACTGGCGGCCTCGATATTCCAAATCAGCAACTTGGCTGGGCGCATCCCTCCCTCAACCCACCTGCAGAAATACAAACTTCCTCGATAATTTTCGGTGCTGCAATGTCTAAGATGCAAGTTTATCGTGGCTACTGCCCAAACACCTTGCGAACGAAATCTTGTCTTTGAACATCTCTCATGGATTAACTTTAAGGTGACCGGCTTTCTTTGGTTTGTCTGTAGTCTGTGGTGTAAAATATTAAGCCAAACAATATTCCAGACAGACATGTGGAGACTGTTGGTAGCTCTGGTATAGTCGTGGTCTAGGGGGTTCGTCCTGAGACAACATAAACGTCTTCGAAAGCGTTGATTTTAGGAATAAGAAAATAATTTAAAATGTATTCTATCGTTATTTGTAATGAACAAATTAATAGGGATAAACAATACAAATAATTCTGTTTACTTTTGTCACCAGTTGACTGACACCACTTTGAGACGTCGATGACGTAAGTGTTTCCAGGGTTCAGGAACAGCCTTTCGATACATCAGACTCAATCATCCCCAAAACGAGTCATTATACCAACTAAAATATTGGCATATAATCTTGTGTAATACATTGCCTTGTACTTCATAATTAAAACAGATAAAGACAGAGACCCCTGAAGCTACATGTGTGAAGAAACGAATGAGTAAACACGACTAAACTCAGTCCGTTATAACACTGGGACGAGGTCTTGAGTCTGATTCAGTTCGCGGTTCCGGATTTATGAGAATGTCAACAGAGGCCGCTAACAAGACAACACACACAGTGCTGTCTGCCTTAGAGCCGGTAAGGTGAAGAGACTGAAATTGACGAGGACAGTAAGGAATTCAAGTGTGTTCGTCAGTGTAGTAAAGTGTTCGAAAGTGTCTTAAAGTGTTTCTAAGTGTTTCAAAGTGGTCTTCAGTTTCCTAAAGTGTTTTTAAGTGCCGTAAAGTTTTCATAAGTATTGTGACGTGATCATATGTAGTATCAAAATGCGTTCTTAAGTAACATAAAGTGTTTATAAGTGATGTGAAGTGTTTGTGTCATGAAGACTTATAAGTAGCACAAAGAAATCGTGGGAGCCCAAAACACCATACGTGTCGTAAGTGGCAAAATTTGTTAAGTGCCATAAAGTGTCATGTTATGTCACAAAGATTCGTGTAATATCCAAAAGTTTTATAAAGTACTTTTAAGTGCCAGTTGGTCTGAAAAAGTGCCAGTAAGTCTTAGAAGTGTTGTAATGTCGTCAAATGTGATGCACAATGGAAAAGTGCTGTGAAGTGTCAGAGATGTGTCATGAAGTGTCAGAGGTGTGTCATGAAGTGTCAGAGATGTGTCATGAAGTGTCAGAGGTGTGTCATGAAGTGTTCTAAGGTGTTAAAGTGGCCTGAAGTGTCGGTGTTGTAAAGTGCCGTAAAAAGCCATATATTTTCAGTGTCATAAAGTGGCACGAGGTGTCGTAAAGTGTTGAATAGTTTTCAAGTGTTATAAAAATACGATAGTATCATACTGTGTCGAAAAGTGACGTAAGGTGAAGTCCCTCAAAGTGTCGTAAAGTGTCAATAAAGTTATAAGGTTTTGCAAAGTGTCTTGAACTACCGCAAGGCCATGAGGTGTCATAAAAGTGTCAAGACGGTGCCAGGAGATGCCCCTGTATGGCACTAGGGTTCCCACCAGCACAAGGTAACTATACTACTGTTGTGTTGTTGACATATCGAACAAGTTCTCTTAGTCATCCATTTGGTATAAACTAATACTTAAGATCATTGGTTCTGTCTCAGTTGTTCCTGTGAGTTAAGTGAGTGTGAAGATGATAAACGGCAGGTAATCTCAACTGATTTTTATCTTTTCCTTTTCCAAGTAAGTGTGAGTTAAAACAGCTCTTTGAGGGACATTAACACACCATATCTCAGGTACGGCCAAGTTATCATATTCATTGATTAAAATTATCGTTTAATTCGTCAGATAAGTCTGGAGTCCTTTACATCCCACAGCAGTTTTAAAGGAACGCTTCGCTTTTCCCCGCCATCTTTGAGGACGTCGGTGTCCCTCCCTTATCAATGAGTCAACGTGATGCCCCCACTCGTTCACGTGGACGTCGGACCCACTCCTTATGTTTACACCGTCTTTATGGTCGCCTGTGGTCCCGTCGCTGTCTATATGAAAGTCTTTCCCTCCCCTTCCCTCACGTCTTCTATAGGCGTATCAGACTCCTCCCACTCCCACCTTCCCGTCAGAGCTTCATCTCTTCCACTCAAGTGAGTTTAAGAGGCATCCGCATCTCTCCAGGAAAGTTCTTGCTACACTGAGATAAAACGACCCTCACCATGCTGTCATGGTTTCACTATCCTGCTTTACGGGCTATTAGCTATTGTGCTTTGTAGGCGCCGCATCTCTCTATCAGTTGTTGATTCGTCAAACAGGTCCCAGCCCTAATTGGTAACAACCTAATCTTACCCCTGGGACTGGAGCTTAGTAATAACAAGTCCCAATCCCAGAAATTACTAATTCCAATGGATCCCAGTTTTAATGAGCTCCAACCGTAATGCCTCAGGGGCGATTAGTATTAAGGTCCTTTTGGGCAGAGAACCATTTGATCTTGAAATGTTCAGTGTTGACCGTCACAGCTCATCATCAGAGACCAATGTTTTCGGTGAGTTGGGTCTCTCCTCCCATGGTAGATGTGTGGCAGCGTCCACACACTCATGCCTCAGGAACGTCCTCACACCCCGGGAGCATTTGACCACCTCCTCGTGAGCATCGAAGTATTTATTGATGTAATTTTTAAGGATGCCACATTTTCCTAAGCTTGTATCAAACACCAATTTTTGTAAGCTTATGAAGATAGAAAGTCATTCGTTTTACAGTATTGGGAGCACCGTTCCTTGTTGACTGACGTTAAATTTCTTTCTCTCAGTATTCGTCCCTGGTCAAAAGTTTGGGAACATATAGCAATGATGCTGTCTGTCCGTCTGTCCATCCGTCCGTCCGCCCTAAATTTTGTATCCACTCGGTAACTCGCCACAGACGTGATGGATTAATTTCAGTATTAGTGTGAGAACGTAAATTATGGCAGGGTCTTATTGAATAGTACTGGACGGGTTGATAGTTCGTTGACTTTATACCTTGGCTGACCGACGATTATTGCCTGGTTTGTGTGTTTCTGGAAGTGAGGTGAGGGAGGGAGGCCGCCAGTCTGTGTGGTTTTCAGCGTCGTGCACTGTACATGTTGTCTAAAGGGTCCACAGAGAAGAGTTAAAAAAAAATAATGACCCAACTAAAAATAAAAACTATCAGTAGTTGTGATTAGAATTTTTGTATTCTAATTTAAATTCCGATTCTGTATTCATGAAATTATCATTGAGAGTGCCATCGGGAGGTGCCAACTCAGTGAAGTGTCATTTTCAGCATTATGACTTTGACCTTTGACCATAACCTCCCCCACCAGACAACAAGGTAGAGGTTGTCCAGGCAAACATATGAGCCAAGATGGAATATCGTAAATCAATCCGCTGTCTAGTTATGCTGTGACAAGTGTACACAAGGGACGACCCACTCACCGGTGTCCCTGTGAGTCAGAGCGATAAACCAACTCAGCATGACACACTATCTCTTCGTCATCTCAGTTCACACTATATCGAACATTACATCATCGTCGATATTCAATAAGTTTGAATAATTTTCACCACCTACATCATCACCACCTACACCATCACCACCTACACCATCACCACCTACACCATCACCACCTACACCATCACCACCTACACCACCATCACCACCTACACCACCATCACCACCTACACCACCATCACCACCTACACACCATCACCACCTACATCACATCACCACCTACACCATCTACTACACCATCACCCTTTCCACACCATCACCACCTACACCACCATCACCACCTACCATCTACCACCATGATACCTGCACCATGACACCTACATCTAAATACTTACCTACCATCACCACCTACACCACCATCACCACCTACACCATCACCACTACACCATCACCACCTACATCATCACCACCTACACCCACCATCACCTACACCATGACCACCTACACCATGACCACCTACCATGACCACCTGCATCATCTACCCTACACCATCACCCACCTACACCACCATAAGCCACCTACTACATCACACCAACTTCATCTACCTACACCATCTACCTACATCATCACCACCTACCACCATCACCACCTACACACCACCTACACCATCACCACCTACACCATCACCACCCTACACCATCACCACCTACATCATCACCACCTACACCACCATCACCACCCTACCATCACCACCTACACCATCACCACCTACACCATCACCACCTACACCACCATCACCACCTACACACCATCTACCTCACCCACCATCACCACCTACACCACCATCACCACCTACACCATCTACCTACACCACCATCACCACCACCATCTTTCACCCTACACCATCACCACCTACACCATCACCACCTACACCCATCACCACACCACCATCACCACCTACACCATCACCACCTACACCATCACCACCTACACCACCATCACCACCTACACCATCACCACCTACACCATCACCACTTACACCCACCTGTACAGTGTCTCGGTGAAGACTCGGAGTATCAGTACATCAACGCTCTGATCCCTGTGAACAAAACACACCTGTTAATGCATGATTCATCTGACACACGGCACATCTCTATGACACGGCCACATGACACACCTCTATGACACGGGCACATGACACACATCTATGACACGGCTACATGACACAGACACACCTCTTTGACACGGGCACATGGCACACCTCTATGACACAGGTACATGACACACCTCTATGACATGGGCACATGGCACACCTCTATGACACAGGTACATGACACACCTCTATGACATGGGCACCAGCACACCTCTATGAAACACAGGTACTGGACACCTCTTTGACACGGGCACATGGCACACCTCTATGACACAGGTACATGACACACCTCTATGACATGGGCACATGGCACACCTCTATGACACAGGTACATGACACACCTCTATGACACGGCTACAAGACACAGGCACACGACACACCTCTATGACACGGCTGCAAGACACAGGCACACGACACACCTCTATGACACGGATACATGACACACCTCTGACAGCCCCTGACACATCTCTGACACAGGCATGGCACCTCTATGACACAGCCACATGACACACCTCTGTGACACCAGCCACATGACACAACTCTATGAGCACACGGGCACATGGCCTTCCTCTGTAATACGGACACATGACCTGCCTCTATAACACGAGGGCACATGACACACCTCCTGTGACACGGGCTGCTGACACAGATTTCTGGCCACGGCCACACCCAGCACAGGGCGACACCTCTGACACGGACACACTGACGCCCTCTATGATACGGACACATGACACACCTCTATGACACGGGCACGACACCTCTATGACACGGGCACGCAGCACACCTCTATGACACGGGCACATGACACAGATTTATGACACGGCCACATGACACAGGCACGTGACACACCTCTATGATGACACAGGCACATGACACACCTCTTTGACATTGGCACATGGCACGCCGTATGAAACACAGAGCACACAGCACATCTCGCTTGGCCATGACATACAGTAGTTATACAATGATCATGCACAGTAGCTAAAACAACTATCTGTGCAGGTGGGGGTCGATATGCTCCAAAATTTTCCGTGTGACTAGTGATATTTTTTTTTTTTTTTTTTATTGGGCACCCCCCTACATTCTTGTGTAAGGTGAAGCGCAGAAGCGTTTACAGCGCCCAACAGGGAAGCATGCAAAGTTTATTCTTGCCTTTATGTCTCATGAGTTAAGGGCGTAGAAGCCTGAAGAGTCAATGGTTTATGTCATCAAGTTATTGGAAGCTCCAACAACTTGTCCCTGAATACGAATTCGCAACTTTCGATTTACACCAGGTACCTACTTTACTGCTAGGTGAACAGGGACTAATGGGGGCTAGGAAGTATGTCCAAACAACTTCCACCGACCTGGGAATCGAACCCGTGACATCTAGCTTGCGAAGGCAAGAGCGGTACCACTCTACCACCAGCACCCCCTGACAAGTCATAACTCTCATAAAATTTATCGTCCATGGTCTCGTATTGTTTCCCACAAAGTACACACAGATAGTTGTTTTAGTACCACAACTGCCTGGCGCGGGAGGAAGGCTGTGGTTGTGGCCGGGCTTGCAGGAAGGGTGACGCCTGTTATATACTGTACCACCTACACCATCACCACCTACACCACCACCACCTACATCACCTACACCATCGCTTACACCACCTACACCACCACCTACACCACAACCTACACCACCTCCACCATCACCTACACCACCTATACCACCACCTACGCCACCTACACCACCATCTACACCATTATCTACACCATCACCTACACCACCATCTACACCATTATCTACACCATTATCTACACCATCACCTACACAACTACCTACATCACCACCTACACCACCACCTACACCATCATCTACACCACCACCTACACCACCAACACTATTATATATACCACCACCTACACCATCACCTATACCACCATCTACACCATTATCTACACCATCACCTACACAACTACCTACATCACCACCTACACCACCATCTACACCATCATCTACACCACCACCTACACCACCTACTGTATATGCCACCACCTACCATCACCTACACCACCATCTACACCATTATCTACACCATTATCTACACCATCACCTACACCATCACCTACATCACCACCTACCACCATCTACACCATCATCTTCACCACCACCTACACCACCTACACAATCATATATACCACCATCTACACCATTATCTACACCATTATCTACACCATCACCTACACCACCTACACTATTATATATACCACCACCTACACCATCACCTACACCACCATCTACACCATTATCTACCATTATCTACACCATCACCTACACAACTACCTGCATCACCCACCCTACACCACCATCTACACCACCTACACCATCATCTACACCACCACCTACCACCGCTACACCACATAAACCACCTACACCACCTACACCATCACTACCACCACCTACCCATCACACCACCTGCCCACCTACACCACCACCTACACCATAAACCACCACTACACCACCTACACCATCATATATACCACCACCCTACACCACCACACCACCTACACCACCACCTGCACCACCATCTACATCACCTACAAAATCATCGACACCACCACCCACACCACCTGCACCACCACCTACACCACCACCAACACCACCACCTACACTATCACCTCCACCACCATCTACACCACCACCTACACCACCTGCACCACCACCTACACCACCATCGACACCACAGCCTACACCACGTACACCACCATCTACACCACCATCTACACCACCATCTACACCACCATTTGCACCATATCTACACCACCATCTATGTATGTATATTATGTATGCTGGATTATATATTATGTATGTATATTATGTATGTGCTCCATTTATGTATTATTTATTCAGCCTAGCTAGCAGCGTGTGGCAATGTAATTACCATATCCCACATGCTTAATTAATGTGCCTGGCGACGTATGGAAGCTGTTAATGTATCACTTGCCATACGTCGTCTATAGCAGTTGACAGGCAGCCAGGTTGAGGAGAGCACTACTTCCCTCTGTGTACATATCTCTTATCCAGTAAATCGAACCTACAAAATCTATACAGGTGTTTATGTTCTCTCCTGTATATTGAACTTATTATCCAGAACCTAACATGGCGCAGTGCGTAATCTTACTGGATAATTACGAGTGACAGTGCAAAGTTTGTGGAAAGCCGGCTTATGGCCTCCTGCCCTGTGTCAACCAACCGCCGCCCGCCACCCGTCCTCGAAGAATTTAGCAACTTTGAGCAGTGTCAGTGACAGTGATTTTCTGTGAAGTGTTTAGTGCATTGTGTGTTTCGTGCCATTCATGTGTGACCTTGTTCTAACGGATTCCCAAGGTATACGGCATGTTCTGGGCATTTGTGGGGAGTAGAGTTCAGTGCACCCTTCTCTGACCGCGTCCAGAGGGTGACTGACGCTTCTCGCCGTCTCCACCCCCCCCTCACAGCGTCGCCTCCACACCCCCTCACAGCTCGAGGCAAGACGCTCCTGCCCGGGACACACACACCCATACATGTACTAACACTCGCTGACCGCGCGGCTCCCTTATATATATTTTATATATATAACCTACTTATCTGTGTATTTAATTAATTTTTTTTGTCTGAAATCTTGTTGATACGACGGGCTGACCGGTCAACACTGATTTAAGACACAGTACACAGATGAAGTAGTTATGTCTCGTACCTTACGTAGCCGTGGAGCCAGCGCCGCCCGGACGAGTGAGGCGGATGATAGCCCCGCAGAGATGGATGACATGGCTGACCACGACGCTCCAGCTCCCACAACATCGCGCAGCCCTTCACCTCGATATTCAGCGTTGTCTCCAGAGATAATTGCTTTAATGAAGTTTATGAGAGATGAAAGGCGCGAGGATGAAGCTAATAGACGTGTGGCGGATGAACACAGAAGGCAAGCAGAGGCAGAGAGAGACCACCAACGGAGATTGGAAGACAGTGCACGGTTTGAAGCCTTGATATCTCGCCTCGCTGTTAACCAAGCCCCTGGCTCTAACACTGCCCTGGTACTGACTGGTTCAGATACCTCATCAATGCTTCCTTCACGCCCCCCAGCCCCACCTAAAGCAGCTGCTCAAACACCGCCCATCTTGAAGCCTGATGTGAATTTCCAGACTTTTCGTGAATGGCGGCGACGGTGGACTGATTATTCTACGATGGTGGATCTCCAGAGTTTGTCACAGCCTAAACAACTCATTCAGCTGCGTATGTGCCTGTCCTTGGAAATTCAGCGTGTCTTAGAACATACGTTGCAGGTACCCCCAACCTCTTCGCTGTCTGTAGAGGAGGTACTGGACATTCTACAACGGCACATCAAAGGACAGCAGAATGAAGCTCTGCGCAGGAGGGAATTGTTTAGCTGCAGACAGATGGAGGGTGAGTCTTTTGACGCCTTTTATGTACGTCTTAAGAGAGCCTCGGAAGAGGTAGATATATGTCTAGGCCACCACCAGCAGTGCGAGGAGACCCAGTTGAAGCAGGTGATCCTGATGGGTGTTAAGGACGAGGAACTTGTCCAACGCCTCACCTCCCTCGACTCTTCCTCTTCTCTCAACGATGTGTTGACGATATGTCGCTCCTATGAGGCTGCCAGGTGTGCCACCTCTGCCATCCGAGCTCCCCCTACAGCTGTACGCGCTGTGTCCCGGTACAAGAAGGACAAGAAGTCTGCTCCTACGCCTTCGCCCACCACGTCCACGCCCGGTTCATTTTGTAACAACTGTGGTAAGCAGCACGGAACACAGGTGTGTCCAGCTGCTGAGTCTACATGCAACAGTTGTGACCGTAAGGGCCACTGGTCACTCACAGTACGGTGCCCAGCCAAGTACGTCCAGTGCAATGTGTGCGGTCGTCTGGGCCACTATGACAAGTGTTGCCCTTCCAACAAACCCAAGGGACAGCGTCG